AATGCAGTAACAAGAACGGGTAACAAAAAATGAAAAATACAAGAAGGTGAAGCAGAAGATACTAATATTGGAAATACCGATGTGGTGAGCTCGTGGCTCAGTGACTCACTCACCGAGGCTGAATTGTGCGGTGTAGTGATGAGCAAGCACGAATGACTGGGAGGATCCTCCATGCTCGCCTCTGTGACCTGTCCCCGATGCTCGCCTCTGTGACCTGTCAAGAGATCCAGGCAGTAGGAGGAAATACAGCTAACGCCTAGTGATGGCACCTGAAAGTTACTGCTCCAAATGTGTCAACATTGGAACTGAACGTGTTAGGTGTTTAATTATAGGATCATAGACAAAATGTACACTTGTATCTGTACAGTCGATATTCCCTGAGAAGAGTTCATTGAAAACACCTGGCCTTTGATTGTACTAACATATACAGCCGGTCCACAAGTCAGTACACAGTGGTATAAATAGGTCCACTCCTAATTTCAGAAAGCAGATTTTCTGCTGCTCTTTCTACAACACTATTTAAAAAAAAACATTTTTTGTGTTTGTATTGTCACATGAGTGTATCTTTGTGTACCAGGTATGTGCAATTGTCTATAAAAAGCCAAAAGATGGCTTACTTGATAACATACTATTTGTCACAGTAGGTTGTTAACTGGTTTATGTAATTTATTTCACTTTTAATAATATGCCAATAAGAGAATAAATATCATGCATATAGCAGAGAAGTCAATTAAAATATAGAAAAGTTTAGCTCAAAGACCACTTATGTTTCAGAGAAAATCACAAGGTAAGTAAAAAATGCTAGGCTATTTTCTACTGTATAATATTTTATTTTGTAAATGTTAATATATTCTCTACATGCAAATAATTGATTTCTTGAAAAAGAAACAAATTTTAAAAGTAAAAATAACTTTCAAGATTAGGTGCAAAAATCAACATTAGTTTATACTAACTCAACACTTTAATTTATATTAATAATTGAATTTTCTAAAACCTGTTGATTATAATGTGTAAAAATCTTTCTTCATGTTTGTATATATTAGTTAGTTTTAACTGTTACCTTGACAAAACCTAGAACCAAGCAAGAAGGGATAACAATGGAGAGATTTCAAGTATGAGATTAATCTATGGTCACATCTGTGGGGACTTTCCTAAAGGCCCAGCCCACTAGGAGTGACACCACTCCCTGGCTGGGGGGTTCTGGAATATGAATAAGTAAAGCTAGCTCAGTTAGAACTAAATAATCAGGGAAGAAAGCAGGCAGGCAGCATGGGTGCACAAGATGTGACTAGCTACTAGAGCTCCTGGCTTGGCTTCCCAGGAGTCATGAACTGTGCTGTAGAATTGTGATGTAAATAAACCCTTTCTCCCTTAAACTGTTGTTGTTCTGAATATTTTATCACAGTGACAGGAATGACTCTAGACAGAACACAGCCAGAGTTTGTAACAGAAATGATTCAAATACATGTAGGCTTGAATGAGCCTGCACATGTATCACACACTGAAGTTGATTTGTGAGAACATATTAAAAAAGAAAGCCCAAAATGTTCAGAATTCTGAAAGCAATCTTCTAGGTGGTGTTATAGACAGGACAGAGTAGAGGTTAGGAGGCAATGTCCTGGATCCATTGGTTTTTTGAAACCTGTTGAGTGAAAAGTGACCAACAGAGGAGATCCTCTTTGAACCAAGTAGTCACCATAAAAATGACAAATACTGTCAAGAGAACGGTCCTGCATGAGTTACAACTGAGTTACAATGAGTTTAAGACTGGCAGAAGTTCAGTTTAATAAAAAGAAACAGGGTGGGCAACTCTCTTGCAGAGTTGAGAAGTTTTTCAAAAGGCCAGGCCACATATTCCTTCTCCACTGAGGATTTTATAAGCAGCCAAGAATGTTTGAAAATGAAACAGAAAACAGCATTCTTGGGTCCTATTATAAAGGAAAGGGGCACAGGATAAAAATAGTGTCACATCCTAACTTAACCATGTTACAATCCCTTCCTGATACAGCATTCGTCTGAGGTAAACACCATTATGGCTAGACCTATTATAAGAGTCTATTATGTCTTTCATTTTCTTAACAATACATGTGCCCTTTAGTTATATAAATTTCACTGAGCAGTGGCTAAAAATAGATGAGATGACTTAAGTAGTTAATCATAATCATAATATTTATAAACCTGATTTCATTGGGTTGGTTCACTCTTCTCAATAGTCCACAAGCATTTAAATGCAGTGACTAATTTAACGTTTGGTTGATTTAGTTTGAAACACACACAAAAAAAGTTTTTAAGATAATCTTCCCTCTTATCTTCATGCCAGAAATTTCCTCATTGTTAAAGTACTTTTATTAAAATATGTTCTGTGCACAGTCATGCCTTAGTAGTTATAGCTGTTCTAATTTGTAAAAGTTAATTATTAAGTGATGCCCAAAAAAGATTCGAAATAATTAGTTTGATTCAGGTGCCTGATTTTGTTTCTGATTGTTGCATTTCAATACTTATTGCTATTAAAAATCATGTTGATTGCTGATGTCTTCGAACATTTTCTATCATGTTTTAACTATGACTTAAAAGCATATCAGCATCTCAGATAAAATTTTAATAAACACTTTAAATGCAATGTTTTATATGAGATTGAGACAGACAATTTGGACATTTTGATACGTGGAATAATTACATAACCACTGTACATTTTCTCATTCTTCCTAGATACTCATGGTTGAAATTAAGTATGAAATTAAATCAACATTTCTAACTACATCTAGAGTATGGATTGGATGTTTCAGCAAGCCTTCTACTCCTACTTCTATGCCTCTGGTCCCTCTTCTCTTATTAAAGCACACACTCATTTGCTATGGCTTCTCTGCTTCACTAAGTTATGCACTTATGGGATTAAGAACTTTGTCTCAATTGATTGCTGTTGTACCTTCAAGATATTTAGGACAGAGAATGCAACAAAAGTAAACCTAGTGTTTGTTGAATAAATAAATGAGGAACTGCAAAGCTGTGTTTATTTTTAAGTTGGCTTGGTGGCTCTGTGTGTGAGCATGTGTGAAGCCCAAAAGCTAACACTGAATTTCTCTCTGTTTCCCACCTTAGTTTTTGAGACAGTGTCTCTGACTGAATCATGAGCTTCCCCTTTACTCTAGTTAAAACCTGTTTGCTTTACACAGAATTGGAGCTTCAAATGTGTGCCACAGTGCTAGGCTTTTACACAGGTGTGATGCCAGTCTTCATTCACTTCCCTGACTGTACCATCACTCCAGAGCCTGCTTTCTATGTTTCTTCTCTGGGCCTACCTCCAGGGCAGATTATATATTTAAATAATATAAACTGATTTTTTTCCTCAAGGATTTTTAAAGTTTTTAATTGTAGGCCACAGAAATAGTACATACATTCTCATGCAAGAGCCCCTAAAACAATGTGATCCATAAAGCAAGAGCATCTTCAACGAACTGGATGGAGAACTTTCTTTTTACTCACCCAGAAATAGTGCTGGTGTTAAAATGAAGTGACCCACATCTGTATCCTCTTCTGTGCTGGGTAGGAGAGTAACTTGTGAAGTCTGTATTATCATAACCCCTTCCCTTCTCAGCCACTTCTAATGAATGGATATCATGTGTGTCCTTTACCTTAGACTTTCCGGCCTAAAAGATGTTGGGACTTCTGTAGCACAAATGTCACTGGTGAACAGTTGAGAAAATATGGATGTTTGATTTAGATTCATGTACACACACAAATCACAGTCTAAAATTATTTCAACTAATTCTTGCTGCAGTCACACAAAGCATTCCTACTTGTATTTTGTACCTAAAGACACAGAGTTTCTGGGGTCCAGTGTGTTCTTGCTTTCCTTTCTCTCACTGGTGCTTGACCTCTGCCCAAATACCCCTCCTTCATGTCTTCTATCGTTTGAACTTATTTAAAATCTACAAAACATACAATATCCACAGGATTTTGCTTTGTTTTTTTTTGTTAGACAATGTCTGCAATTAGCCCAGGCTGGCCTTGAAGTGGAGTTCACTATACTGCTTTGATGGCCTTCCATCCCTGATCCGATCCTTCACCTCGAAAACACTGAGATCACAGGCATTCACTACATCTAATTTATTTATGAGTTTGCTCATTTCCTGTTGTTGTTTGAGACAAAGTGCCCTCTTTTACCCCTCTTCTGCCCCTGCCTCAAGGTGTGCAAACAGTCCCTGCTTCTCTTCCTGAATCTTGTTGTTTTACTTAACACGATGATGTCAGTTACTGCAATAACTGTAGGAAAGGTCACAAATACATCTATGCGCCTTAGGAAAGAGGATGGGCCTTGCTTTTCAGTTGAAATCACCTGTCAGTCAACTCAGGTCTTACTGACTGGGGCCTCAGGGCAAGCTTAGCATGGGCTTCTTTGTGATTGCATTTCCCATAGAAGGTGGTGTGCAGTCTTGCTCAGTAGACTGATTTGAGTTCTAGTATAATAAACAGTCCTCAGCAGATTCCAGTCACCAAAGCCAGAACTTAGTGGGCTGTTGGAGGACTTACCCACTCACCTCTAGAGAAGTTCTATTCTCCTCTTACTCCCCCTGACCACTTTGGGCTCTGCTCCTGGTCAGTTTCTATAAAATCCTGGGAGATGGGAAGGGTCTGGACCACCTTCAAACTGGGCATGCTCAGTGGCAGAGCTATTTTGGCTGGAACTGTGAGCCAGTACTCCAGGATCCCTGCTCCTAGCCGCACTGCACAGCAACTACACAGCCTCCCTTCCTCAGGAGAGCCAGACGCTGCGACGCCCGCCCCCTGCAGTCTGCGTTGCGGCCGCTGGCCACCGGAGGGGGGCGAACCCACGTCAACCTGTTGTTGTCCAGTCCCTATTGATCAAGTCAGCGCCACAAGGAAGTGCGGCACCCACACGGGCTTGGAAAGTTCAGCATGCAGGAAGTTTTGGGAGAGCTGGGACAGTAGCTGGGCGTCCCTGGCAGCGCTGGGCAACGCGGGGCTGCGCCGGCGGTGACGGCTCGGGGCTGCACAGAAGTCCACCGGCCCAACCCCGTGGGCTCTATTTATTTATTTATTTTTGGAGCGACGCTGTCCCTAGGTCGCTGATCCCAATGCACCGGCTCGTCTTAGTCTCCATTCTCGTGTGCGCGAACTTTTGCTGCTTTCAGAACACTTTTGCGACTCCGCAGAGCGCATCCATCAAAGCTTTGCGCAATGCCAACCTCAGGAGAGATGGTAAGCAACTCATTTGATTTGTGTTCATCACTGAAAAAGTCACATTTGCTGTTGTCAAGGTTCTTTGGGTCATTCACCCTGCCTCCCGCTTCCTTCGTTTTCGAATTTTTCAAATGAACTCAGATGAAAGACATCCTCCGGGAGAGATTCTCCTGCCTGCTCTCCTCGCCCCCCCACCCCCTCCCCCGCTAAGATTGCCCCTCCTTCCAGAACTGTTCTAGAGGGTGTGTGAAGTGTCCTGGGGGAACTGTTGGGGCCAGTACAATGGGTCAAGTGCCTTTCTTCTCTGCACCTAGAAGTCATATCGGTAGGTGTGTGTCCTGGAGTAGTTGATATGTGGATGCCTCTTTCCAGGGTTTGAAAGCTTCAGGCTTGGGTCAGGCTAATCAAACTCTGGTAAAGGCCAGGCAGTGTGGTGGGCGGTGGAGTCCAATGGCCTTTAGTGGATGATATAATTCTTATTTATTTATGTCTTTATTTTAGTTAGGGGAGTAGGGATGACACGTTTCAACATTGTGGTTATTTTTGCTGCAGACTGGCAATGTATTTTATTTTCAGAAGAAATCACTGTTGCCCTTTATGTCCCTCAAGTGACTTTCCCTTGGAGTTCAGTAAGGCTCAGGAACTAAGAGTGTGGGAGGCAGAGCTCCTGGAATGTTCTTGTACCACAGGGGACCTGGATTCTTTGGTTGGTTTCCTTTGTACGGAAGTTTTCCCAGCTCCTGAAATGACTGTTCTAAGAAAGGTACTGAGCAGGCATGCTTGTTTTCTGACCTATGGAAGATACATGGGAAAAATAGGTCCCAGAAACTCCAAATTGAGTTTGTTGAGTTTGTTTTTCTCCTGAGACTTAGCCCGTCAGCTGTAGCTTGTGGTTCCAGCATGGCATAGTCCTTGCTGTTGGGTACCTGGAATGGCCCAAGGCATTTTTTGGCTTTTGTTTTCCTACATGAAGTTCATTCTCTCTTGCTTGCTTAAAGTTCTCAGAGCCTCCACTTTCTCCCATATCACTGCTCCACCCACCAAGGCCGACAGGGAGTTGCTCTTAGTAGCTTGGTTGAACTAGCAACGTTTAACCATCTTGGTAAATTGATAGTAACGACTTTAGTTACTAATCAGTTACTAATTTCTTGATATGTTCTAAATTCAGACCTCCTTAAAAGTCTCTTGGAAACTGAGGGGGGTGGAGGGGGGAAGGGCATCAGGGAGATCCACTGCTATGCTTTCTAATGACAGGTAGACCATAGAACAAAGGTCAGTGTCTCCAAGTTACCAGACATGTTGAGGTGTGTGGCCTAGGAACTCAACTCCCTACTGGATAGCTGTGTTTCATGTAAAATATTGGGATGGTATGCTTTGGATGACCTCCCTCCCAATTAAAGTACAGAGTATTTGCTCTCAACTTTAAAACAAACAAGGTTGAGTGTCAGTGCACAGTGGACATTTGTAGTTGGTTTTGCTGGATAGTGTCTCCAGTATGCACAGATCTTCCCTGAGCTTTTAGCTTTGCCTTTTTAGCTTTATAGAGTTAAACACCATGTTGATGCATGACTTCATAGCCATAATTTGTAACCCTCCCAAGTACTGGTTACAAGAAGTCAAGGACAGAAAATGAAAAGCATGCAGTCATTGCTTATTAAACCAAGAATCTGACCCAAATCCAGTCAGACAGCTCGGAGGTTTTCCATGCCCCCCTTTCTTTTGTTGGAGAGCACACTCTGATTCTAATTTTCTTTATTAGAACTCCATATCTCTATCTAGTCTACATGGGTACTTCTCAAAAAACTGATGATGTCTCTAGATTCCTACATATTTTAGCTAAAGCTGATTCAGTTACTCCTATAGTGTACAAACACACATACACACACACACATTCAATATTGCTTAATATTTTTTCTCTTTAACAATCTTACCTTTAAAAACTGACTGGAAAGTAAGAAACACCTAGACATATTTATAGAAGACAATACTGACATTCAGAATGGGTTGTTAGTTTCTGGGAATGATGTCTAAAAGGGGTGAGATTGGGTTGAAAGGGCTGGAAGTTGAAAGATGGTGTTCCAGTAATGTGTTTTTTTCCAAATATTAACAGATTTCATTATCTGTGAACAGATAATTCAGTAATATTAAAATAGCAGGGCAGGAAGATAATTGAAATAAAACTGTCTAAAAATGTTCTCTGAAGGTATCTTGGTGGTAAAGGAGGATAAAGGGCTGAGTGAGAGCCAGAGAGTATTGCTGAGACAGCCTTTGTACATTCTTTCTAGTTGGGATTGACTGCCCAATGTTGGAGTCAATAAAGGAACCAGAGAAGAGAAGGCCAGGTATCTGATAGAAATGGCTTCTGATAATGTGTTGGAATCTTCACGGGCTGATTCAAAGGGTCTTTGGAGAAGTCTAAACATCACTGAAATTCCTAATGCAGATCAGGGAGAAAGTTTAACTTATTACACCAAATCCTTGCTCAGACTACACATATTTTCAGTTTGCTTTCCTCGGTTTCCCTCAGGAGTCATTAAAGAAGATGTTATCTTGCTATTTTGACTCTCAGATGAAGACATCATAGAAGTCTGGGGAGGACATTTGTGCGAAATAAACTCAGGGAAAGACAGAAAACAAAATCTGATCAACATTAATTTAGTCATTAGAAGATGTGGTCAATTGTCACTGAAAACCCTGAATGGGTTTGGGTATGTGTGTGGAAGTCATTATCTGAAGGTAAGGCTAAATTCACACTTGAATGCCATGTGTTTGCTGTTTGCAATTCTGTTAGTTGCTGCCCAATTTGGGAGCTGAGAAAGAAATTATAAGGGATTAGGGCAGGTGCCCTGTGAAAAGGGCATGAGATGGATGTTTTTGATTATTATTAGCCTGATACAAAAAGCTTTGGTTTGATCAGTTGTGTTTAGGGGGAAGCTAAGAAGTGGTATAAAGGCCTTAGGTTTATAAACAATAGGTTCCTTTTATAAGGTGATTGGTCTTCTAGGATATTCTATCACAGTACTATTCTTGTTGGGAAACAAGACTTCGAGATCTTTTCATTAAAAATAGCTGAAGATGGGCTTCAGAAGAGAGTGATAGTTATGATTCAAGTGAGATTTTATAGCTACAGAGGAATACATTACAATAAATTTAAACATATAATGCATTTATACTTCCTTATATTGTATTATTAATTGTCATTCTTGATCAAACTGATTTACCTTAATCTTATCTCTAAATCTAGACCAGATTCTAATTTAGGAGCCACATCTTATTTTAGTGTCTATGCAGCTGATGTTTTCATGATAATGACTGTTCACAATAGACGGTATTCAGATTGATACCAGGAAAGAAAATAGTCACAATGAAATGACATTATTAATTATTCTAAAATCTAACTAAATAGCACTTCCTGACCAGAGAGTTAGAAATAAAACCCTTCTCCAAGAACAAATATGTTGCTGGTAAGCAGTGATTCTAGATTGTACTGTTTTGCTAATATGCCAGTAACTAAATTGTCTACAACTTTGCTTTTAGCTAGGGAGAGATCTTCAGGATCTGTCCTTGTGCTATGATGGATTCTAAAACAGTAAGCTCAAGTCTTAAGCAATGAGTTTTCTAGGGCCGTGCAGAGGACACCACACTGACCTTGGTCAGAGATCATAGATGAAAGGGGATGGCAACAGAGGAGGAAGATATAAGCCATCTCTTGTGAACACATCTGAGAGCTAAGAGCTGCAAGAGTGTCTAAATCTTGTGTTCACTTATTTTTAGATTTTTCTATTCAGTATTAAGATTATTAAAGTTTCAAACCTTATGATGCATATCTGTGTTTTATGTATTTTAAATGCAGCTTGGCTTTGACTTTATAACAACATGGCTTGAAATACTTAATTGCAATTCTTTTTAGAAGAGGACAAAACATAGGACTGGAGATATTTTGAGAGTAAGGAAACTCAAGTTGGTGTCTTTAGAACCTACTTAAAGCTGGATGCAGGGTCAGGTTCTCTCTCCCCGAACTCTTACAGGGAGGCAGCTGGCAATTCCTATAAGAATCTCTGGGAGTTTGTGGAGAGGAAGTGTGGCGTATGTAGGAGGGGTGGTGAGTGTCTGCTCTGTCTTTATTTCAAAGTGGAAGACAAGGACCAAGATTGTACCATGTAAGAACCAATGCTAAAGCTGTACTGTGATCTCTACATGTGTGCAGTGGCATATATGACAGAATTCATACAAATGAGCACAAACAACTGTAACAACACCACACACACACACACACACACACACACACACACACACACACTGGTATATGAACAAAAAGCTCCTGAAAACAAAAACAAAAACAAAACAAAAAACAAACAACCAAACCTCCAACTGAACCTTCCACAAGGCTGACTAACTGATTAGAAGTTTAATCATTGAGGAGAGGTTGGAAAGTTGCAAGTCCAGAACCCAACTGTCTAGGGCCATCTTTAGCCCTGTTAATAGCCATCTACTTCCTGGCTTTGTACCTGACCTAACATATTTGTAACCATTAGGCAAATCATTTAGAATTTACAAACAGACATCTACACCACAAATCAAAAATCTAAGTGTCATCAGATTGCACCAGAGGCATATGGAAGGGGTTTTTCTGCTTTGCTCTACTCACTTGCCTTATGTCTCCACCAATGTGTTATTAAAATATCTTCATTCATGGCCTTTGTTCTGTAACTATGAAAATCTCATAAATCCGCTCCCACACTGGAATGTGGAATTTAGGACAACATATATATCTGTTCCTGGGTAATGATGATTAGTAATTGCATCCAGAATGTATTATTTCTTTTCCCCTTTGAGTGAGAGTTCTGCTTTTTTTTGGGTGTGCAGATATCTGCATGCTATGCATTGTATGATGCCCTGGGATATCTGGATTCTCTATGTTGTAAATTGTCCTGATATTTCCAGTTGCTGTGCATTGCAGAGTGTCCTGAAATGTTTGGATGCTGTACATTGTACAGTGTGCTGAGGTGTCTGGATGC